TAGGGTTTAGGGTTTAGAGGTTCCATAAGGGCTCTATAACTCTCTGGTACTCAGAAGGGAATGGGGGAATGGAACCGTCTGATAGTCCCTTAAGGTTCCTGATAGTAGTCCCTATAACCCATTCCCCCCTTCCCTACTAAGGTCCCTCCCTGGCATCAGGCCAAAGGCTATAGAAGACAAGAGCCGCGATTCGCTTCATATCTCACTGTGACTGTTGAATTCTCTGGCCTCCGCTTGAAGCCGCGAAGCTTCTCGCTGCCTCGCAGACTCGCAGGTGCGGCTTACCCGTCTCTGGCAACGGTTGAATCCACCGAAACCTCCTGTCCTGACCTCAATCGAGGAGCTCAGCTTCCAGAAGAGCACGGATCGATAACGACTAAAGCTACAGTAAGGAAGGCATTCGATCGGAAAATATCGGCGAAGCATGGAAGTTCCATCCGCAGAGCACTGGCCTCTGCTCGGCCTCCGCCAGCTTTACCCGCTTCGAAGCCCATGCTGCCTGCCAACAGTGCTGAAACCGACACGAGGACGTGAAATCATGTGCCTGGGCTGTCGGCATCTGCTGGTGCATTGAAGGTAGCCACTGTAGTGCAGCAGTGCCGCCCGAGCGACGGCCAGTCGGAAAAATCACCTGGCCTCGATCACCCGCGGCGGACTCACAGGCCCAAGACGGCCAGACGTGGCCTCCGAGAGAGGCGACGGCCACGTTCAAGCGTGGGCTTGGAGTCTTGGAGTTCGGGCTGGAAAGGCTTCGAACCACAATGCTCGGTCCTGCTGCGTCACGACCCTCGCAAGGGCAGCATTCGCCACTTCCAGACTGTCCGCCCTGAGATGCCTTGGCTTCGCAGCAAGTAGTTGGAAGATGATGGAAGGGATGGCCAGCATGTTTCTCGATGGCTTCGACAGTCATTCGTCATCTCGGCAGCTCTGCGGCGGGGCGGCGCACTTTTCAGGTTCTCAGCCAACTCCCAGGCCACCAGCTGCAGTCCCAGGAGGCGCAGTACCTCCCGAAGCCAAGTTGTCTTATTCATTCGTATTTTGGGGGAGAACCCCAAACAGGCCCGCTACATTCGGGCCTGGGCAGCTCGAAGAACATCCTTCAGGGTAGAGTCTGAAAGCAAGGAATCGGCAGAGCGAGTGCAAAGGTGGCAGCGAGTGTTCTGCTCGCAATCTTGCTCTGTCTCGGCAAGCGCGAAAAAAAAGGTCAGAGCAGAAGATCAAACTGCCCCCACAGTCCTCAGCCTCACCATCCGCTGCAGGGGCGCGCCCAGTCTCACGGGCGAGCCGCCAGGCCTCTTCCTTGGGCTCTCCATGGAGGCGTCGTAAAAACTCTGAGGTCCGTCATCGCAACGCCAAAGCCCCGGCCCCGGTCACCTCAAGCTCTCAAGCCCCAAACCCTCTATTACCCGTGCTGCGCACACATCAAAGAAGTGCACTCCAAGTGGCCACGGCCTCGTCACGCCAGGAGGGGTCTAAGGCCCTGGCACGAGCCTCCAGGGACTGCAGAAGGGTGTCCTAGTTCCTCCTCCTGCGTTTCCGCTCAACATTCAAAATGTTCAGAGGTGCCAAAGCTTGTTCATCTCGCTTGCGCTAGCAATTTCGACCAAGCACAAGTCACACAAGTGGCTGAACAGCAGGAGTCAGCAGCGGGATTAGAGCAAAACTTCCTTGCACGACAAGCACTCAACGTCACGCCACAGTGGAGAGCCCTGACTTTTGGAAGGGGACCCCCCCCTGGGCTTTTCCCCCAGCCTCGTCTGCGGCCCTGGCCTCCTGCGCTCTGAGCGTGGCCACGGCGGCCAGGCGTCGGACCTTCAAAGATCCGTGAGGCGATGTTCGCCATTTCCGGGAAGTCACTAAGTAAGGAGAGGCGATGTGCCCGTGCTCTCCTCCGAGTCGTCCGTGAGGATCGGCAGCAACTCTGACCGGCCGCTTTGGGATTTTGTCCAAAGCTATCTGTGGATTGAACGCTAACAGCTAACATTCACGGCCGTCTTTGCAACACAGAGTTTCACAAACCGAACTACCCGTCACTCGCCAGGTTTGCCTATTGGGTCAAACCCAACGCATCCCAAAATTCTACGCCCTTGCCTGCCTCGAGCTGCTCACCTTGTCCACGCGTCTCTTCTAGCTCAGAAAACATCTCGCCGGCCGCTGCCTAACAGCTTCAATATTGCAACGAAGTAGTGCTGAATCTGTTGTCGCACGATCAGACATGCATGAGAAGGCAGCATGCATATCGCATGGGGCAACCTCCAAGCGGGATCGCTCGTGCGTTTCCAGGCAGCTGGCCTGGAAATCGTGGAGGCAGTACGTGGGATCGCTTTGCTACGCAGATGCTGCTTGACGATACAACCCTCTGCCATCTGCCGAGTGTACCATGAATACAGCGACTTGGGGCAACTTCACATGCTGCACAGACTTTCCCCCGTCGACCTTCATCTGTCAGGTTCACGACTTTTAAACTAATTTGCTTCGCCTCTGACCCGAGTCCGCTCTCTTTGACTTTGTCAAGAAGCAACCATATCTTCCACGTTTGTCAAACTGCCTTGCCTCGTCGTCGGCCCTTGCAGCGCAATGCAAGGCCTGGCGCTGGCTTGCTTGTTCTGTCTCTTTTCTTCTATCGGTCTATACTGTATCGAGGTATCCAACTCTCCAACTATCTACCGACCTATCTAAAAATCTAACTATCTAACCATCGATGTAACTGTTTATCTATCTATCTATCTATCTATCCATCCATCTATCTGGATGGATGATGGATGATGATGGATGGATGCATGGATGCAGGAATGTATGTTGTGCGTGTGGGTGTGTGTGCGTGCGTGCAAGCATCATGCACGTATGTATATAAGTATTTATGTATGTATTCAAAATGTATACGTGCTGTATGACATCTAAGTTAATGTGTATATAGATATATGCATAAAGTATGTGTATATATATATATATACATATTGTGTATATGTATGTGTGTATGCATGTGAGTGAGTGAGTGAGTGAGTGAGTGAGTGAGTGAGTGAGTGAGTGAGTGTGTCCGTGAGTGTGTCCGTGAGTGTGTGTGTGTGTGTGTGCCTGTGTCAAGTGTGTGAACACGTTTTCACTCATAACACTTATGATCTCATGCTGTATCGGTGAGCTTTACATGATAACAACATGTTTCAAGATATGTCTGCTTCATACATATACATGTGTATGTGTATATATATATATATGCGCCTATGTGTATGCGTGTATGTATGATATTATATATATATATGTATGTATATAGCTATATAAATACATAACTATATATTATATATACATATATAACTATATATATATATGTCGTTTTGAAATACATATACATGCCACATGCATATGTAGACAGCTAGCCTGCTCCAGCTGTCGCGCAGCCGCGCGAGGAAAGGGTCGCACCGCCGGCCCTGCCGATCCATCTTCAGATGCAGATTCCAGCACAGGATCAAGAGGTTAAAAGCATACTCTTATAGGTTAACCCTGGGGGCCATGTGGCAACTTTTCTTCCAGTAGGTGGGGTCCGAGATGCCACAGTTCAGTGCCTTCTGATTACCTGGCTGTGTATAGGTCTGGTTCGAGACCTCAAGAGAACGTGACTGGACTCCTCTAGCTCCAGCCGCCAGGGCGGCTTTGCGATATCCTCAGCTGCGCAGACTGGACATGGAGAAAGTCGGCGCTGTCACGAAGGCACAGACATGAATGATTCGATGAGGAACAGGAACTTAACCAGCTGCCACAACTAAGTGGTACATACACTCTGGCGTGGATTGCACATATGCCACCGCCCGATCAAGGCCATGCGACGTTCCACTGCGACGTTGCTGCAGACGGCTCGGCGCTGGGTCTCTGCCAGGAGCTGCAGAAGGGACCTCAAACGAGTGACGAAGAGCCGTCTGCCAGCACTGAAGCTCAAAACAAACACCTTCTTGCACTCTCAGCAGGAACAACAAAATACATGAAGCCACTCGCGTTTCTTGGGAGCAAAAACCAACATGTCCAACGTACTGCAAGTTCAAGCACCAGGCACCATGAACAGGAAACAAGCTTGCAGACGTGTTACCCGAGAACTTTGGCCACGGTATTCTCGTTGGGCTTCCGTGCTTGCTTCACCTCAGCTCCCCATCCAAACTCCATCCTCCAAATCCACAAGAGTCTCCCCAACCCCCAAGGGTCTCGAAAAGCGGAAAGCTCAAGCCGCCGAGCATCCGAAGTTGGCCTTGGTCTCTTTCCAGCTGCGACTCGCAAGGGCATCTTTTCTCCGAGCCTTGCGGTCTCGAGATGGAGATCAGGGAACGCACGGAGGCCGGAGGATGTGAAACAGAATCCTCTGGCAGTCTTCGAAAACCCTCCCAGAAGTTTCAAGTGTGAGCTGATGGCAGTGAAACTCAACAGCTTCTTTGAATCTACATGCGCAAATACATGTGAGAGGCCGCTCCGCTAACATCAGCCAAGTATCTGCCGCAGGCTCTTCGCCATGACTGCCGGGAGTCGTGCGCCTTCCCTAGAATCCTTGCAGCTCAGACGTAGGACGACGCGGGTCAAGCTGGGAGCAGTAGACTTGCTGTTGGCGCAGCATTGAGCGCAAACGAGCATCTTCCTCCGCCTTCTCACAGAGCACAGTCTCATGACGGCCGCGAAGCTCCAGCATCTCTTGCTGCCACGCGTGCCGCGTGTCGTCCTTGCTGTAGTTTTACTGCAAGCATATCGAAAGAGATAAAACTGCCCCCCGATGACGTGACTAGACTGTCGCTACTCCGCAGCAGGTTCGGGATATGCTCGAAATGCGCACAGGGTCCGGGAAGCAACCGGTGTAAGAAACATGCCGAACCCAGCATGTTTTTCTTGCTAGTGACACAAATGTGATGACTATGACCATGAACCAAGGAGCTTCATGATTAAATTTGTCATGAGAAACCACTGCGATGATGACAAGGAAGCGGAGGAGGAGGGTGGGAACGAGGCAGATCCAGGAGCATCATCAACATCATCATCTTCTTCATCCTACTGATCATCATAGTCGTCATCTTCATCGTCATCGTCATCATCGTTGTCAGCATGCTGATGAAGACCGAAAAGCATCTTGACACGATCTGAAGGCCCCAAACTCTGCTTGCGCTTCTACACTTGTCACGCGTGCGTCTGCACCCCAAGCCTTCACGGAAAACTGCTTCTTCAGCGAGGCCACCTCCTGCTGCAGATGCTACCACCCGTCTGCAAGCTGTCGGTCGAATGCGCGACACTGAGACGTGCTCCCTCTCGCCGTGACGGTCACAAGAGAGATTTTCGTCCGAAGTGCTACAAGTCAGCTCATGCAAGCCTCGCGAAGTTGCGCGGTGCGATGCTCCACAGCAACCATATCCAGCTTTGGCCTGACCTGGAACAAGTGGAAATCATAGACGGAACAATGATACAATAGCTTGCGATCACAGACCCCCGCGAATCTCCGGCATGTGCCGTGCTATCTCCGCAAAGCGGCACGATTCATGGCAATTCATGGGATGCGGGGTACTTGACTTACTGAAGCAAAAAATGCATCGCAACCTCTTAGAACATGCAAAGCCACGGCCAGCGCCCTGCGAGGAGGGAGCGGCGCCAGCAGGCTAGCCTGGACATGACACCAGAACACACCATGGAAAGACAAGGCACGCATCTGCCTACTGATCTCTTAAGACTCTATAATACTCTGAATCCAGGGGCTGCTTTCTGCAGTAGAAAGCCTTGACCATGCCGATGCACAGACTTGCAGTCTGAGCCCTCGGACATGTGCAGGTCGAGAACATCTGGCCTTTGTAGCGGCTCTGCTCGCCTCGTCTCCCGCTGCAGTCAAGAAATCGAGGCGGGCCTTGCACTGACCCCAGGTTCGCTCTATAAATCCGTGAATGAAACTCTTTGCAGAGTCCCCTTCCCGCCTGCTGCATGGCCTGCTTGGCCCGAAGAGTTTCCTGCAAGCTTAGACATCTTAGACTCCTCGCTACTTCCGGCATACACTGTTACTTAAAAGATCAAGCAGCACAATCTCAACTTGCTGCTTTCCGAATATGCCATTCGGCAGAGTCTCTCGGCGGCCACAGAGCTCTCCAAGGAGGCGCCGAGCGTCGGATGCCTGACGATAGTCCGACAGTACTACAAACGGGGTTTCGGAAAATAGAGGGATTTATAAGGGAACCCCAAACACAGACCCTGAAGGCCTGGGTCTGCCACTAAGATGGCACTTGACTCACTTGACCCAGTGCCAAGGCCGCCTCGGCGACCAGGCAGCGTGCCACGGCCAACTCCTCGCGAACCTCGGCGCGTTCCTCCGGCAGCCCAACTCGACAAAGCTGGCCGAAACAAGACTCGCTGCATACATCGAGTTTGTGCAAGAGAAGCAACTCACAATACCCGAGTCCTCCACGGCCTCCTCCTGCAGCACAGTCTTCGACTGATGCTCTCTGCCTGGATGCCAGCATGAAAGCGCTGTGTTCCCGCGCATGACTTTAAGCTCCTTCCTTCATCGTATCTGTCTTTCGTGTTTTCCTTGTTAGTTGGGTGCTAGCTGTGCTATTGATGCCTACTCGATCTACTCTATACCTGCAACCTCGCTGTAGCTTCGCACATGTCCTTGTGTTGTTCGTTTTGCATGTTCTCATATATCATGTGCTGTCCATTTCTATTTGTGCTGCTCTCGCTTCGTTGTCCACGATGCACTGTCCGTTTTCGTTTTCTCTTTTTATATGTTTCTACAGTTATGTTCTATCTGATTGCTCTTTGTTGCCGTTAATGTGTTGTCGATGGTTCGTCATCTCTGACTTTCCGTCAACTCTCTCCTCTGTCTGCGTGCTTTCGTCGCTCCCTCGGTTCGTCTTTGTCTGAGTGCGCCAGGTTGCCACAACCAAACATGTACGACACCCGTACCTTCTTCAAAGGATTCGTGGGGATTAGCCAGAGAGCAAGCAGCAGCAGCCTGAGATGCAAAAAATAAGCTGCAGCCAGAGCACCACGAGCCGAAACAGCCGTCTCTTCTTCCTGAGTCTCGCATCCAACTCGAAACATCTTGTGGGCCTGAAACACACATCGCTGCCCCACCCAACCCACGTTCAGAGAGCTGAGCACAGCTCGGAACCCGAAGCTTGTAAGGCCAAGGATGTCCGAAACTCGCTGGCCGCCTCCTTGCAGGGTGCAAGAGTCTTCCAAGCCTGTAGGGCAGCACGGAAAAAGGCCACGAACTTCCAACTTCCCTTACCTCCCCAGAGAGTGTCCGAGTGTCCTCAAGAAGAGAAAGGTCGCGCAGGGTGCTCTCGTCCTCGGACAACACTGCATCCGCGCCGGGAGTGCAAAAAAACAGCAGCACATCTCCGAACATCTCTGGCCGAAGTGCGGCAGAACGCCACCGTGCAAGGTCCGCGTGGCGGGTGGCCTCGAGGATGCGAAGGCGCTCCTGCAAGGTTCAGAAGGGGAAGTGGATGCGAGTTGTACCAGTACCAGTACCACGCTAATGGACCAGCATGTGCAGATGGCTGTATGCGTTCTCCTCCAGCTCATCTCGTCGAGTTTGGAGTTCAAAGACTGTCGCCTCATCCGGAGTCGCATTGCCCGTTTCCTCTCTGCGAGTGAGCTCCGATTTGATCGCGGTCATCTTCAAGTCGTGCTGCTTCACCGCCTCGATGATGTCCTCCAGGGCCTCAAGGGTCCCGGCCCGGGAGGCCCTTGGGCCGTCGCCAGGGCCAGGCTCGTCGAGCCCCAGAGCCGGTCGCGGCGCTCGGCGCTCGGCGCGCTCCACGCGCTCGACGCGCTCCACGCTCGAAGGCGTCTCCGTCAGCTCGCTGAGCGACGGCACTATCGCCGAGGCCCGCCGCGCAGCCGCCTCAGCCTCCAGCTCGGCATGCACCAAGTCCGCTTGACAACGGTGCAGCGTCTCCCGCAGCTTTGCAATCTCCGTCTCGTCTGAAGCTGCAGCACCTGAGCTGCATTGCATCCCGCCAACACACCGATCCGGCAAGATCCGGCAAGGTGCCCGCACAACCCCGCAGCTCGCAGGATGTCGACGGAACAACAACACCACAAAGGAACTCTTGATCACGAAGTCTGCACACCCAAGCAATACAGCCGAAGATGCCGAGGCACGAGAGCTTGCCGCCTCACTCTCGGCGCGGCACTCCGCCAGTGCCACCTCCGTCGCCTTCTCCGCACGCCAATGCCGAATTCCAAGGAAGCTTCGGGACTTCGGTACACTGTAAGGGATGTCCTGCCTCCGCCTTTGCTTGTGCTGCGCTCCGCTGCCGCCGCAGTGCTCGTGCTTCCTCTGCCAGGGCCTCCCGGACTTCGAGATCTCAATGGATTCTGTTGGCCTTTACAACACATTCTTGCTGTCTGGGCATGTTCCCTCCATGCCGCAGTGCGAAGCCCCAGAGTATTCGACCAGAAGCCCTGGGCCCTAGAAGAACTCCGAAGCAAGACGGGCTCCGGGAAAGGAGGCCTGCCTCCGAGCGCTTCTCGGCATCCCAGGCTTTGGCTACCAGTTCCGTCGCCTCTTTGGGGAGGATTCTTGCTGTCATACTTCTGCAAGCTCTTACAAGCTTTTTAATGCTCAAGAGCCAAACGGTTGTCATCACCACCTCCATTACATCCTCTTGCAAACCCGCAACCGTAGATGTGTCTTGTACGCCTGCGTTGGGGATTAGATGAGGCTCAGGTGTGGGCCTAAACCTGGGGTGCCTTCTGTGCGCTTGCCGGGACTCAGGGCTGTCACGACTTCTTGTTGTGGAAGTTCTTGTCGTTCTGTTAGGGAGGTGGGGGAGTGGGGTCATACTTGCGTGCTTAGAAGCGCCGACATCCGAAAGCCCCAAATGCCAAGCCCAAACCCCCAACAGCAACCTGGAAGACAGAACACCTGAAGCTCTCAAGTGTGAAGCCTGTACTTTCAAGACCAACATTCAACATTCACAAGCATGAGAGCTTGCCCTTAGGGCTGACCTTAAGGCATGAAGCATGACCAGCTGAAGCTTTCAACTCTGAACATTCGGGCTTGCGTACATGATATGTATGGCGCGGATGCGTTTCAAGAAGGACCTTGGGGTCCATCAAACTAAGCTATCAGCTATCATAAATGCATAAGCATGAGTCGCATGCCAATTGAAGCTGTTTCTTCTGTGACTTGGCAAGAGCTCAAGTCTCATCAGGAGCTGATGCTCCATGAATGCTTCAAGTCAGAATTTACAAGGCCACGGTTCGCTGAGAGGATGGCCACTCGCGTCTTCCAACTCCGAAGTTGGAAGACACAACATCGCTTGCTGTTAAGGATGCTTGCAAATGCATATGCCTTTCACGATGTCAGTCATACAAAGATTGCGCACGTCTCATAAACTCAGAAAATACTGTCCCTCAGTATTGAAGTATTGTTTACAAGTGCAATGTTCCACATTTATGAACTGCAAACGACGTACTAAACGTGCCCAAAATCTTCCGAGCCAAGCAGGAGGGTTAGATGATCTGCCTCCTCTGTGGAGGCTGCGCGCACAGCCTCAGCGGCACGCCGCCTGGCCCGGCGGGGGGGGGGGGGCGCGGGGGGGCCTCTCGCAGAATCAAAACTGAGGGCCGCGGTTCGGGACCCCCCGTGCAGGGCCTCTCGAGCTCGGCGGCCTCTACGCGATCCTCGGCAGCATGAGCCCGACACCTGAGCCGAGGCGCACAGATCGCCCGGTGATGTCGGAAAAAATCCGCGGTGACCGCTGCACGCCGTCCGCTGCCGCTAGCTGCCAGCTGTGTTCTTCACTCCTGCGAATGTTGGCAAGCGGCTTGAGCTCTGCAGCCTCCTCAAGGGCCTGCGGCAAGCTGAAACTCGCAATCAGCCGATGCGAGACTTCAAGGCTTGGCACGGTCTTCTAGGCGGGCGCCTCGTTCAGGCGCTGTTCCAAACTGTCGATGACTGCATCCTGCCGAAGCTGGGGCCAGTAGGGCCAACTACGCGTGAAACACAACAAAGTTGAGAACGACGGCCTCGAAAGTGATTAGAGAAGCGAAGTATAAGCAGCACCGAACATCAACTCATCCACATCCATGCATCCCTTCACTCGTCAAAGGCGCCTCCCATCCCTCCCATCCATCACACACCCTGCTACAAATCCGCCCACAAACCCACTCCCTTCCACAAACCCTTCTGCAAATCTCTCTTTCAACCCTTCTATAAGCCCTTCTTAATCACAAAAGAAGGACTCTCGACCCTTCTCTTAACCCCTGGTTTAAGCCATTCTAGCCTACTTCTATAAATCCCTCTACCTCGACCAATGTGTTTCCTCCCAGGTACTGGCCAGATTCGGGACCACGGCCAAAATGCTTTCCCCGGTCTACCGGCGACCCACATGCTCCCTCCCAAGTACTGACGGGATTCAACCCCAGCTGCCGTCATGCTTCGCCCTGTACTGGCGAGACCTGACCAGAATGAAGTACTGGCTCCGAAGTACGGGCGGAATTCAGGAGCATGGCCAACATACTTCCCCCAGGTACTGGTGGGAAGCAGATGGGATTCAGGAGCAACGGCCAACATGCCCAAGTCCTGGCAGGATTCCCCGCACAACACACGCAATGCGATTTCGCACGATTAGAATGATTCCCTGCATGTATGCGGGATTTAGATGGGATGCAGGAGCAATGCGAACATGCTTTTCCCCCATGTACTGGCCTGGTGGTTGTCATTTCGAGACCAATTTACTGCGGATCGCGCGTACGGGAAGATGCGGACATGCCGGCGTGGTGTTGCTAAATCCGATGGCCAGTCGCCGCGGGCACCACACGTGCAGCGCTATCAGAGGATGCGGGCATGGTTTCCAAATCCGAGGACAAATCGTCCACAAAAAAGCCCTTCATCACGCTTTCCAAAACAAAAGCTCATCACCCAGCCTTCACCTCCAAGATCAGGAGAGCTTTTGAACTCTGCCTCTGTGCTTCCAGCTGCCTCAGCGCAACGCAACCAAAGGTTTGTCCGGTGTCCTTCCGTTGCACGGCCTCACAAAACGACTCCCCGCCCGAGACTCCACAAAGTGCACCCAGCTGAAGTGCGAAGATCCGGGCTCCCGGCACATGGAGCTCAAGTGCCAGCTTTCGGCTTTGGCTGTCCATTAACCAAGATAGCGCTCGGCAAAAGCTGACAAAGCTGGAGATATTTAAACGACCAGATAAGAGCTAGGCCTCCTAGAGCGCTTGAGCTTCCCAGTCGCAGGAATGTTTATGACCCTAAGTCCCAAGCCCAAGCTGCATATGAAGCACCTGTTCCTGCATCTACAGGTCGTGCCGTTTTCACAAACGTCCTTCTTGCAGGACCTGGGCCTGAAACATACACAATGCCATGGTTTGCGAATGAGAAGCTACCCTGAATCACGTCGAAGTACCACGAGCATGTTGAAGTACTTCAAAGACTTGGGTGCCGCTTCCTGAGACCGCGAAAATGCTGTTTTTCTGGCCTGGTGCCCGAGCACATTCCGCACCCTCGGCATTTTGCCCCAAGCACGCCATGGCTGACCAACTCCGCATTCCGGGCGATGAGCTTGACAGGATCATGGGGCACATTCCATTGGAAGTTCGGATCACCCAGAATGTGGAGAAAAAGTCTTTGGCTCATGGCAGTTGGCACAGAAACGAGGCTTCCCGCCGCGGCTCCTTCAAGCCCCGCTTTAGCCTTTTCACAGAAAGCCGTGGAAAAGCAGTGGCAAATAATTGAGCAGTTTGCGGCACCGGGTGCTCGTGAGCTTCAAGGAATGCTGCGCAGGAGCAGTGTTACTTTTACGCTTGCCAGGGCCACCATGCTCACGAGAACCCGCAGGAAAAGCATCGGCTAATGAAAGCAAGAGAGCTGCACATTGCAAAGGCACCACCCTCACCCCTTGGCTACGAAGATGGGCCAATTCAAACATCGAGGGACCCGTTTGGGCTCGACTTGGCTCTGCACCGGCACAGTCCAGAATCTCCCATTCTCATTCCAGACTCGTGCTGCTTCCGAACCTGCAGGAGCGGAGGTTCGGAAATTTGGAGCTCTCATAAGCAACTGGCATCTAGATCAGCCTCACGTAAAGACTGGACCAAGCAGACCAACCACCGCTGAGGGTGCCAAGTCCTGCGGATCGGATGGGCGTGTCTTCCTCTTGAAACCCGACATGTGTGGACCAGACTTCGAGCCAGCCAGAAAATGACGGGCCCGACTAAGATTCATCTGCCGACTGAGTCTACGGTTAAGAGTTGCAGTGCCTTGCAAG